TCGCGCGGTCCCTCTTTAGGGTATGACCGGTAGGGGTTGGTGGAATTGGATGTGACCCATTACGGGTTGCACCAATAACTTCCCGACCATTTGTTTTTTCTTTCATTAATTTTTAATTTTATTATGTATTTATTCAATCTTTTTCTCACATNATTTGTGCGTTATATCAAGATTCATCGTTTCTAACAAAAAAAACTTGAAATCGCATCGTTATGCACGGAGAAATGGTCTCGTTTACAAAAAAACGCTAATTTTCGACTTTTTTCCAAATGTTTTTTGGAAAAAACTGGAGAAACGCTGAGACGATCGTCTCCATAATCTAATCAGGTTCAAGTCACATGAACATACAGCGATTAAAAAAAAAAAAGTCAAATCGCAGCGTTTGTTCAGGAGGAATCGTGGCACAAAATTTTTGTCACAAACGTACGCACACACATACACACATCCACATATACAGACAGGTACCTGAAAAGGGTCAGAAGTGGTTCCAAAGGTCATGAAACATGGAGAAATGCTTAAATTTCCACATTCGATTTTCGGGGTCATTACAATAACTTCCTCCCTTCGGGTCGGGAAGTTAAAAATGTCAAAATTATTAGGCGACTCGCTCGAGTTCGCTAGGTTGAATCGATCAATCTGAAATTTACACAGGAGTGCAACTCGATGATACTAACTAGTCATCAACATTTTACAGCTTTACCACACCCTTCACTCATGTAATGGAGTGTCAAAGCAACTTTCAGTCGAAAAAGATAGAAAAACGCCAATATCTCGACAATTTAATATGAACGCATGTATAGATTTTGAAAGCAATAGATAGAAGACGTCAAGACGAATATTTTGAAAAAAAAATTGAAATCGGATAAATAGTTTTTGAGATATTGAATAATATAATTTTATACAAAAAATTGAATATCTCTAAAACTACTCATTCGATTTCGCCCATCTACAATCCCAGCCGATAATATGGTAAGAGCTAGAATTCTATTCTATTCCTTAGTTGACTATATCTCCTCCAATAGGTTAGGGGCAAGAGGTACTCGAATTCAGGATAACTTCCAAAGTCGTGTCATTCTATTCCTTTTTCTTTTCTGGCTCGTCGTGAATTCTCTCAGAATGATGTAAACATTGTGGTGCGTCTTGACCTTCGATGTTCTTTGTTTTGAATACCAATTTTATTCCTGAGGAATTTCATTATATGACCTCATCATGTGTAACTCAATCCAAAAGATTGCCGCTATAACACAATTTCTCGATACAGTTCAATGTCAGCACATAAGAAATTCACTTGACAATCACTTTTGTTTCAAAAGATTAATCACCTTCAAAATCAAGTCTTCTGTTAACTTATCTCAAAATTAATATTCAATTCGGACCGTTAATCACCTCTGATCGGATGTTCGATTAATTCTAATCTGGCTGGGAGTTCGCTGGTGGTCTCTAGGACCACTATTAATTATTGGAACGTCAAAATTAATGATGGAGAAAGAATGAGAAAAAGAAAGGAAGAAAGAAAATTAAAGAATAGATGTTAGAAAAGGATATTTCAGGTGTTGGGATAGATATCTTTTGGAACGGAATAGACGACCGACTGTGCCGCTTGACGACTCCCAGCAAACTCCCGTAAGAGCTAGAATCCTACCAAATTGCAACTTCCTATCTCGATTTTTACGAGCGCTATCGTGCTTCCCTGGATTTTATCACAAAAAAATGAAAAAGGTCAATTACAGGGCGACTCATCCTAGTTCACTAGGAATATTATGGTCCAATTCGATAGACATTATTATAAGGAATGTTTTTACGCCAAAAAAAAGTCCATTCAATGCAGTACTTTTTGAGATATTGAGAAAAGAAAATTTTGGAGGAATCGCTATATCTCAAAAACTACTGGACCGATTGAGTTGAAATTTGGCCCAGATATGCTCCCAAGTATGAACAATTATGAGCCAAAATTTCACCTTCTTTCTATCACTTTACCCCTTTTTTTGTGTAAATTTATTTTTAAAAAACCAAAATTTTGTACGCACATTCGGACGTACAGACAGACATTTTCTAAAAACATCATATCTCGACGTTTCATGATATTCTAAGTCATTTCCAGGCAAAATTAGCGAATCGAAAAATCGACCGATTACAAAGCTTCCATTCGGAAGCAAAAATCGATTTATCGGGACCTTCCCTACTGATTTCGGAGTTTTTCTGGCGTTTTTTGGAGATTCGACGGTGAAAAACAAAGAAACCACATTTTTAATTATTTGAAAGGTTTTGGCCACTACCCCACTGTGCCCCCAACTGTAATACGTTGGAGATGTGAGTTGATAATTTTAGAATGTGAATAGTGGTTGCTAAAAAGCAATATAAGTATGATAGAAGCTCTGACACCCGCCTCTTTGTCTTAGCTACCCCGCTTTGCCCCGTTTTCCCCTACTACTTTCCAGTGAAAACGAAAATTGTGTCTTTCATTGAGCCTGTGGACAAAACTTTGAAAGTGCATTTTTTACAAGGGGATTCGTCCGTGTAAATATTTACGGCGAAAAAATCTGCAGGTGGCTGTGTGTTTGAGAAAACCCCAATTTTACGTGCATAGCTTGGTTCTATAGTCATTATTTTTTTAGGAAATCATCGTATTCCCTTGAGTGTTTTGAAAAAGCTCCGAATTCTTTCTAATATAGGCAACCCTTTCTTGTACCTCTCCAAAACTTACTAAATTTTTTGAATTTTCCAGAAAGTTTAAGAATTTTCTCGAAATTTCTATTTTGTAAAAAAACTGCGCAAAAAAAAAGTTTTGTTTGATTTTTTATTTGATGGAGGATTTTTTAAAAATCCTTTTTCTATTGAAAACTATCTTTCTTATAGAAATCCGATCGTGTACTATACCCATTTATTTGAGATTCCTGACTTGGCTTTCTTTTTCATGTGTTTGTTTTTTCAAAAATGTCCACTTGCCAGTAAAAACCAAACAAAACTTTTTCTGAGCACAGTTGTTTTTTACAAAAACATTTGTTTTCGTTTTTTAGGGAGATTTCACAAATTTTTTTAAAAGAAGCACGGCATTGTTTTCATATCGTGAAAAAGTTGTTCTTTTCAATTGAACTCTTTTTTTTTCCCCAAGATAGAATATCCTTTCAATTGATAATTGAAGGGAAACAAACAGTTCTACTCCAGATTCATTGTTTCTACCAACTTTTGATTATTTATTCAATATTTGCAGAATCGCATACTTCCCAAACTCGAAAACTTGAAAATCACTACAAAATAATCTTGTCCCGGGCTGCTGCGATGGGGTTTTTTTACTCGTGTGGTTGGCCAGTCCTCGCCTCTGGCTCGGACGCCAACACCACACGAGTAAAAAACCCCATCCCAGCAGCCCTGAAAAATACTATTTCCGTGGTTCTTCAAAACAAGACATCATCACAATCCACGTTTAAACGCACTGGTGACAACACTTCGGCGTTGGATGTGAGGCTCAGTTGGACCGGCGCTGCCAACGTTGTAACTTGATTCTGACACTTTATAATCTGAATCGCGAGAATGTGAATATCAGCCCGTTGCTATGCGCGTATCTTTTTAATTGTTAATCCAAAAAATACAATAGTTACACGGCTGAAAAGCTCATAGGCGTTTTATATGTAACTAAGCACACTTTTTCGATTTGTCGTCCCGTTTTTATCTTATCGAATGTCAATCATTTGGAGGTAGTGAAAGGGGAAGTTCTGCCATGTATAGATACGCGGTGCGCTCGGCCTGATGTTTTGTACAGTCGGAGTCAAAACTTTTCTTGGTCGATACGCTACCGCGTGTCTCGATCTTTTTAATTGTTAATCCAAAAAATACAATAGTTACACCGCTGAAAAGCTCATAGGCGTTCTATTTAATGTAACTAAGCACACTTTTCGATTTGTCGTCCTGTTTTTATCATATCGATATCAATCATTTGGAGGTAGTGGAAGGGGAAGTTCTGCCGTGTATAGATACGCAGTGCGCTGGGCCTGATGTTTTGTATAGTCGGAGTCAAAACTTTTCGTGGCCGATACGCTACCGCGTGTCTCGATGTTGATTGCTGCAGTATGCAAGATTCTCGTCTTCATTCGCATTCACCGATCAAAAAGCAAAGAGAATAAAAAATTGTTATTTTCAGCGGTATGTCACTAATTTTCAGGAATATGTCACTGATTTTCACTGATATTGGACACTGCCAAGGATGTCCTTGATCCTCAGTGCTTTTTATCACTGAAATTTGGTGATACTTCTCTTAAAATCAATGACATAACTCTGAAAATTGCCGATGTCCCCGAAAATTATTGACGATGTCATTGGTAATTTCACTGAAAATTGGTTACAAAATCACTGAATTTCACAATTTCACAATTGCGAATCGTTAAGAATTGGGGTAAATTCCTGAAAATCAGGGTCATGTCCCCGGAAATAAAAAAAAATTTGCTCTGTGAGAATTTACTATTATTTGGGAAATGGCCCGAGAATTTTCTTACATTTTATATAAAACCGGAGAATTTTTCTCGATTTTTTTCAAAATTTTCAGGAAAGTGGAATTTTTTAGAATTTTGAAGCACGACGCTGCCAAAAGAGTGGTTTTTGCTGAAATGATTCTCCATAATAAAACCATAGACGTATTCACGTAAAAACACTTCGAGCACCTTCTTTCATTCGTAAAAGAAAAATTTGGACTCTTTCTCAATACGTTCAAGTGATACCTTGAGTCCTAGTGTTTACAAAAACTGAATGTTACGTTGGATAGTTAAAAATCAGGATAGTGAATTCTTTGTTGGTCTCTATAAATAACGATGAGAAGGTGGAGATCGCATTTCGGCTACCCGCAGTAGCAGTGGCAGTAACAGGGGGGAATTGAAACGTTGATGTGAAGAACCGAAGCAGGAGAGTGACCGTAAAATCGGGACGATAGCCAAAGTTCGCTAAGCAATTATAGCAATTGGATTGAGGGATTGGTAAAAGCCCATCAGAGAGGGCCGAATCACTTAACGTTTAGTTTTATTTTGGCTTGGTGTACGACGGTATCCGGTTGTGGGTATTGACCAGTGGATTTTCATCATCGGAGGAGTGAGAAATCAATTGTTTTTAATTAAATTCAGTGGCGAGTAAATACTTAACGAGTGAGTTAACGAAGAATATCTGAAAAATCGAACATTTGCTTTTTAGGATAAAGCCCAACGGGAAAGTGTCCTTTAACATCATAATCAGGACAAGAGGAAAGTGCCAGGATGGAGGCGATAAAGAAGAAAATCGCGGCGTTGAAGATGGAGAAGGATACGGCCAATGAGATGGTAGAGGCCAATGAAACTAAAGCGAGACAACAAGATATGAAAGCTGATTTACTTTTTGACGAAGTGCGTGATTTAACTAAAAAATTAGCGACACTTGAGCACGACTACGAAGTCGCTAAAGTGAGCCTCGAGACGCAAACAGTAGCACTGGAGCAATGTGAAAAATCGTGGACCAAGGTGAGTAGAAACTATTCGGTAATTGTAAATTAATGTCTCAAACGAAATGAAATCTATCATTTATCCAATTGATAGGCAGAGCAAGATCGAACAGTGCTAACAAAACGAGTGCAGGAGATTGAACAGAGTCTCTCGAAAAAAGAGGAATTGCGTTTACTCGCTCAGGCAAAACTTGAGAAAGCTGTGGAATCGGCTGATGATGCTAAACGAATGTGCAGAGTACTTGAGGATCGAAATCGTATTGATCTTGAGCGTGTGGAGAAACTTACCGCTGAATTGAAAGATGCCAGGCTGATTGCTGAAGATGCTGACAATAAATCCGAGGAAATAGCTAATAAATTGTCGTGGGTCGAGGAGGAGCTTGAATCGGCTGAGGAGAGGGTTAAGAATAGCGAGGCAAAAATTATTGAGCGTGAGGATGAACTGTTTATCGTGAAGAATATCGTAAAGTCCCTTGAAGTGTCCGAACAGAAGGTACGTCTTCGAGAAAATGAATCCATAATAATTGACCTTTTTTCGAAATTGAGAACACGATATATTTCTAGGCGAATCAACGAGTTGCTGATTCCAAGGTACAGCTCAAAGAGTTGAAAGGAAAGGTGAAGGCTGCTGACAAGCGTGCTATCCTAGCAGAAAAGGCTGTCAGAGCATTGCAGAAAGAAGTGGATCTGAAAGAGGGTGATTATCATGAGATTTTGGAGATTTTTTTTTCTATTTGTCAAGACTACTAACGATTTTATTCACCAATTGATTGTTCTCTTTGCAGATGAACTCAGAGAACAAAAGGAAAAATGCCGGGAAATTACTGATGAACTGGATCTAACGTTCGCCGAAATGACGGGCTATTAAGAATGACCGAATTACGATACATTTTGCTTCTGAATTCGCTAAATCCACGCAAAATAAAATCGATGAAAATCGATCATCTTCATCTTCATCATCAGCTTTCCACTTTATTTCAGTTTGCGTACTTATTAGCTTTTAATCGAGTGCACGCAATCTAACGCAGAGTACTTATAATCCGGCCTTTTAAACTCTTTCAAAAATAACCCATGCGTACACCTATAGCTTGTCTCGTAACTGCGAATTGACTGAGCCATTTCTTTGGATTGAATTGAACACATTTAGTCATACACAATCAACGACACACGCATTAATAGCATTACAACGATGCTTTTCTTTCCGCTACATAGAATTATTGTGATTATTAAGATGTCTCACTGAGGGCAAATTATTATTTTGTTTTCAGAAAAAAAAAACGGGAAAAACGAAACATGTCTAAATCGCGTACATCATCGAATAATCAACGATTTAATTACTTCTTCCTGCCATTTCTTCCTCCTCGATATTTTTAATGTATATGGAATTTGTGTTTTCAATAAATGCTCATAACCGAGGAAATTTCTTATTCTTATTCATTTCATCATTGAATTACACGAGTTGATAAATTAATAGTTAATTCACTTTATGTTAACAATTGAAATTTTTTAATGGAAAAAAGAGATGAATTTTTAGCCGATCTTTTCATTTTTTTTAATTTGGTGTAATTTTGAGGTTACCACAGTTATGTTATGACAGTTTTCAGAGGAATCATTCTATAATTCTCGGTATTTGAATTTTTTTACACTAGATAGCTTCCTTATATGATTTGACTAAATCAAATAATCCACAAATATTTCGCTGGTCCCCAGAATCGAACTCGGAACCTCTTACTCTGTAGGTGGACACCTAATCTTTTTTCGTAGAGGAAGAACAGAGCTACAAAAACAGATTTCTAACAAAAGTCTACTACTCTTCTTACTTTCAAGATATTTAAAAAAAAGTAATCCTTTAGTGAAATTAAATCATCTTGGATCACCATTCCCCTACTAAAATTATATGATTTATTACTTTTCCCCATAAGCTATTGCAATTCCTTAGAAACATTTCTATGAATTTTGAAGTTTTCAAGGCAATAAATTAAAAAAAAAGATTGATTGATTAAATTTGAAACTTTGTAAAATGTATGTAAAATTTTTCGGGCACAGTAAACAATTTGGCATGAGTCCAATTGATTTTTCAATCAAATTTGTACTAAAATAAGACGAACAAATATAATACAGACTATTCCTGTAATGATCGAAGTCTCTCGTAGAAGAGTGAAGAATCCCTTTGTGTTCTAACTAAAGCGTGCATTCGTATTTTTCATGTTGCATTACTCTGGGGCCTATAAAGGGATTGTTCTCCTCGGTCAGTAGGTACAGTAACTCATTAGCACTCGCTTTTGAATGTGCATCAATTCCATCTGTTTGCCCGATCAATCGACTCGAGCGAATAATTATTTTATTTATTTGCCGGATGTATTGACAGTAATTATCTGTAGTGATTACCATGAATGCGATAAAACAGCAATTACAAGTGCTGAAAATCGAGAAGGACCTTGCGATTGATCGTGCTGATTGTTGCGATCAGCAGGCTCGTGAGGCTAACAAACGAGAGGAAAAGTTGAACGATGAAGTTCGTGAACTGGAGAAGAATCTATTGCAGATGGAGAATGACTTGCGAATCAGTCGTGATACTTTGAGAAAATCGAATGCAAAACTCGACGATAAAGAGAGGATGTTATTGATGGTATGTAGATAATTTATTTGTTTATTTATTCTATTTATTGCAATTTTATATGTAAAAAAAATAGTAGGGCAATTTATTGAGGGCGGGTCTTTTAGGTACAATCAGACTTGGCTACTTTGAATAGACGGATGCAGCAAACTATGGAATATCTGGAAAAAACTGAGGAACGTAGGATAATTGCTCAGGCGAAGCTGTTACAAGCTGCTGAGAGTGCTGAGGACGCTAAGAGGTAATTTATTACCAAGAACAGAATCAATTATTAGAGTTTTGAGTTCTTGATTAAATTTTGTGTTTCGGAAGAGTTAGAAGGACATTTCTGAGTTTTCAGAAATACCCGAAAATTGGAAGAACGGAAAATTTTCTTCAGGAACAGATATAAAAAATTAATTCTATCTCTTCTGAAATATGAAAATTTTGTCAGAAAGGCAAAAATCTAAAAATAACTTTTTATACGCAATAAAATTTCAAAAAAGGAGAAAAAATCGATATCTTTTGAATTTGGAGGAGACCCTACCAGAAACTCCAATAAAAATGAAATTTTGAGGGAATGAAACCATGTCAATAATTGGCGAAATCACCCATAATTTTTCGGTAATTTCTTTCATTGAAATTTATTCTAAAATTTATAATTAAACACCAAGGCTTCCATTTAACGTTGTGGTCGTGTAACTTCTTTTTTCGACAGTTTTTTTTAAATTTTTATCGTAGATCGCTTTAAAAATTAGCTGTAAAATAAGCCCATTATAATTGCAATTGACCATTTCAAACTTAAGATAAATTTTTTTGAATTTTACATGTTGTTAAACAAACAACGCATCTGCGAGTCGGTGGCGCGGACGTATTTGAAATGGTCGGGTTATAATGAGTAGTTCAAAAATGTAGTAATTCAGTCTTTTTTTTATTGACTATCTATAGACACTGTAATAATTAGCAAACATGGAAAATAGTATAATAAAATAATAGATAGTCATGTGTTATTTGACTCACGACTCTCAAAAAAGGAAATAATGTGATCAATAACTTTTTTAGTTTTCGCAACTCGGGGTTTGTTCATGTCATTTCGTTCTGATAATAATTGCATCAATCCTCCTTTTTGTTTACTCGCTATCAACAACATATCAAATGAGATGACAGAGTTGGGAATTTTTTTCAACATGTTGTCAGATACATTGCTCTTTAAAATCATTAACGAAGGTAATAATGTCAATGCTTTTTCTTTGGTAATTTCCGATACGATACACTCCAAGTACGACTTTTTTAAAGAAATAATTGTTGCTTGGTTATTAATTTCTCTGACAATGTTGCTAAAACTTCAACATCAAATAGTGCTTCATGGAAATTACCACTAATTTCCAGAGAATGGATTCCAGAAGAGGAATCCATTCTCTGGATTCCTCTTCTGGAGGAAAATGGAATTGAGTCCCATTCGTGTTTCATTCTCAACATTTTCTAATGATAGTATTTCTTTACAACAACTACATTTTAAATGTTCGTCACGGACTGAAAGCTCAACAATTCTCCTTGGTGAGCAAATATTCGTTTTTTCATTCTCTCGTTCAATCTGACTTGTATTTGCAGCAGTGTCTTGAAGTTTTTGGTTTTCTTTGGCACGCACCATCTTTGAAGCAAAATTTCGCTGTTTATTCAAGACATGCGCTTTCACAAACCTCCCTTTGTGCCTCAGCCGATTCGACATTTTTCCCAATGATTTTATAACACTCACTAATATAAACCACGAATTCTAGCAGGTTAGGAGCCATACGAAGAGAGAGATACACTGCGCGTGGTTGCCACGATCGACACCATTCGGCGTTAGCAGCATGCGCACGTATTCATGTATAGTACATTCATGCATGAATGTGAGCCAAGTCGAACTGTACATCAGCAAAAGTATGTGTTTTAACACGGGTTCTTCGTTTAGCGGGATACCAGCCCAAAGTGTGGAAAATTTCAAGTGTGACTCTCTCGCGACAACAACCTTAAGCTCCATTTGATTTTAGATTACCAACTATTTTGCAGTCATTCAATTATTTGAACTTGAAAGGCTTAAAGTTAATTCTCCAGGTTAAACCGTTAGGGAATATTTCGAAATTTTGAAAAAAATTAGGAAGTCTATTTGTTAAGAAAAATTAATGAAATAATTAAACAATTGTAATTTTTGAGAATTATACGGTGAACCGACCAGTGTTCGAACGAAAAAGTTTGGAGCTAATTTTGCCGTAAATTGTAATAGCTGTCACCATGCAAACAGTCTTTTCAGTTTTCAAATGAAATTGAATTATTAATCATTATTCTTCACTATATCATTCGCCGATAGAACATCAACTTGAAGGCATATTGTGTTTCTATATAACCATTACATTTTATTCCGAAAATTCTCAAGAATGAAAGCAAAATTCAACTCGAAATGATTGAAAATATATTTTTTCCGTCCTACAAAGACTCTACAGGCGTACTGGTGAGATTCTAGTCTTTGGGTTCCATATAACATATTGGTGGGGGAATAGGAACCGAAGACTACAATTTCTCCAGTACGACTTTATTCAACTCGACCAGAAATATTCCAGTTGACTTCGGTGCAATTAGGTCCTTCAGACCTCTTTGTCATTTTTTCCGACAAATGCATGTTGGAAATCTGCCTTTGTCGTCACGACAAAGTATTCTTTTTCCTACGTTTTTAGTTCATTTTCCTCTTTTCTTCCTCTCGAACACACATTTTTCAACAATACTCTCTTTTGCACTTGTACCAAAAATAAAAATCTCTGTTCAGGCATGGAGTTGTAGGATAGCAGATAGTAACTGATCAACCGCGACGTTGAACACTACTCCGATTGTCAAATTCAATCATGAAATTATTTTACATTCAAGTTTTAAAATAAAATCAATGTTGTTTCTTCTTAAGTGTTAATATCCAACAAATTATCGAATAAACAATTCATCAATGTTTTCCGAATTATTAGTTTTTTTCTGAGAAAATAATAAATTAGCATAACAATGTAATCAAAAAGTGATAGAAATATTTAAATATTGTACGCGACAAGTATAAACAAAACATTTAATTGAATATAATATAGAAGTCAGTCTCAAATTTCTTGGTGATTGAAACTTTTCTTCATTTCACAATCATTATAATAAAAAAAATTTTGTGAGTGTGAATGCAGAACTCGCCTTCAGCTCGTTCTGCAACTTTATATTCGCCACATTTTTTTTGGCCCCGGTGAGCGCAAAGTACAGTGCACTCTCCTTTATCCGCAGGCCTCGGGACTCGGTCGTGACATCATTTCTAGTCCAGTCAATGTAGATTCAATATGGCAAATTAAAATGAATCGGATGAAAGCTATATCAATCAACAGCCCAAGGTCCCCTGATTAATGTTTGAATTTGTTTAAGCTCAACATGCACCGGAAAATTTATAATTAATTAAAAACCATCGAAAAATTCGGCACAATGAACGTTTACCCCCTTCAATCCTTTCTGCCTTCAATCCCGTTTAATCAATCCTAAAAGTAAAAATACCATATTGTAGCGGAGAAAATCTGCTATGAAATTGAGTTAGAAAGTTAGGGGTGAAAATGCACGGTTAATTTATTATTTTTTCAAGTTATTTCTGTGAATTGGGCATCAACGGATCAACTGATCGGGACGCCACGCCCCATGGCGTCTGGGTCCGAGTCCCCTGATGCGCGCGGTGCGCAGTCGATTCAAACATCCGCAGCAAGCTACCGCAATATGAAATTTTTAATCTTTTCGCATGCTATTTTTCATTGTGCTGATGGTATGATGATGGGTATTAATTGAATGATTTCAAATGCAGGATTTATATAGAAAACAATTGTTCTATATTTTTTTAACAATGAGTTCCTTACGGAGAAGGAGAAAATACATTCGATTGCTATCGTGCAGTGTGTCATTCTCATAGTAAATACAGGATAATGTACAACAAATTATGAAAAAATAAGAATCTATCTGAACGTTAATTATAGGAATATTTAGTACTGAACTTAGTTATTAACAATATTATAGAAGGAGTCTCAGGAGGTGTCGACTGTGCTCTCTGGTGGAATTTTGAATTGAAGAGTTCTGTAACAGATCAGATACAAATGCTTTCATTATTAATCTATAGGAAGTTATAGATATTTGGCTAGCAGCATAAATTTGAGTGATATTTACCATTCATCGACAGGATCGTTGCTTTCTACACGTAGTTTTTTTACTCATACTCGGCCCACTCTCTTCATCAGAGCCATCCTCGGGGTTTTCGAATGGAAAAGACTCGGCGCTCTCATCATCATACTCTCCAGTGGCTACATTATCGAGGTGCTGACTTAGTGTAGAATCAAAATTCTGGAGGAGAATATCATCAGAATTGTTGGAATTTTCGGGGGAGTCTGAGCTGATGTCGATCTCCATCGAATTCAAGCAGGAATCGCCATGACATCCTGAGCATATACTTGAACACTTCAAACCAGCTTTTCTGCATCCACATCGGTTTGAGCAGTTGCCTTTACAAGTACAGAAGATCATCTTGAGGATCTCTTCTGGTGCTGCTGGTATTCTGGTCATGACGGGGAAATAGACTTGATGCTTCCATTCCCATCCCCAGTCACATGGATCCAGTGAATTGTTGCCAAGCCACTTCTGGACTTGAAAATAAACACGCCAAACGTGTTCCTCAGTAGCTCCAGCTGTAGGTGGGAGTTGTGCCAAACAAACCCCGGTCTTCAAACGTGCGGCAGAAGCAGCAAAACGTTGAAAGCGGAAGGAGTTGATGGAGGAGTCCTTCTGATTGGCACCATGCAGAGCTAGCATCAAGCGTTCACCTGATTGCTTGATGTCTTCTCTGGCAGCGGTGGGATCGTTGAAGATAGCCATATCGTCGATCAATGACTTCCTCTTCTCCAATATCTTCAAGAATGCTTCTTTTCCCTTGTTGTAAACGGCAGACGTCGTGTCACACCCTGTGAAAGCATGGCTGAAGAGTATAGCGTCCTTCAAATGGCTGTAATCCTGTGTGGCGAATACAACAGTGGAAACTTTGCCGGTACCCTGCTTGATGAAGTGGAGTTCCCTATCCGCTGGATCCAAGGCAATCAGCAAGGCCAATAGATCGAGATCCTGGCCGACAACTGCAACTTTTTGATGATGATCCAGTTGCTCCACGGCTGTGGTTACTATCAATCGATCAGCATCCTCTGATGCCTGCTTCACTTCAATCCCAGCGTTGACTAA